ATATGATTGATTTTGATAAGATTTATTGAGTCAAGAATTTTAGATCAATATCTCTAGGGAAAGGGCTGTATCTAAAAGATAGAGATTTGATAACTTTATCTTTTCTTTAATATTTTGAAAGGGCTGTCTAAACAATGAAGAGAATAATAGTTGTGTTACAATATTTACAAAATAGTATCTACATTGAACCTGTTATGAAGAAACGTTGGAGAACTGTGACTGTTTAGCTTGGAGAACAGGAGATGGCAGTAGTATTTGATAATTGTCTTAAAATACTTAAGGTTATAATGAGGATGGTGACAGATTTTTTTTTTTTTGTGTCTTCAGGGAACAGTACAAGAAGCAATGTTCTTAAATTACAGTAAGAGAAATTTAGGTTGGATTATATACAGAGCTCCCTCATTATGAGGGTGGTTAAGCATTGGAACACAGGGTCTTGGAGAGATTTGGGGATCTCTATCCTTGGAAGCTTTTAAAAGCAGTTAGACAATACTTACCCAGAATGGTTTTGACAGGGATAATGCAGCCATGTGTGGGGAATTGAATTGGATGATCTCTTGGCATCCCTTTTGGTCTGTGATTATCTCCCTAATTTTAAACAGAATTGTTTTATAGTGCATATTCATTCAGTCAGATTAGCCCATTTTAACTTAAGTCCTTAGCCTTTGCTGAAAGTACTTTATTTCTTAGTGTGGGAATAGGATCATTTCTTCTTCCAAATCTCAAAGTATTCCTTATAGTTCTATTGAAGGCTGGAGAGACTGCTGGAGACCCTTGTGATTCTTAATTTAATAGAGAGAGATTACTATGAAAAAAGAAATGGATCAATGAACATAATAATGGCTGTTATCAAGGGAAGGCCACATAATTCTATAAGAACATCTGCATATCTTGCATCTAGATCAGGTCTCCTAACAGGAATGGGATAATGAATAAGGAATGTGTGGCTAGATCTAATAAAGGACTTACTTGCCTTATGTTCTTAACTGTTTCCACCTGTTAAAGAATTGCCATCAGCACATACCCATCTCCACATCTTGTTCCCCAGACTGTTGCTGGGACCTCACTATCCTCCCCTCAGAAATAGGTTCCCCAGCATTTTTCTAACAGAATGACTTCCCTAGGAGTCCAGTTTCAGTTGATCAAAAAAACAGACCTCCTGTGGGTACTTGCAATCGGAATCTCGCAATTTCAAACTTGTGACAACTTGAACCTAACTTTACCACTGGATTCCTAGCCTGCAGTGGGTGGCAGTGGGGAGGTACCTAATTCTAGGTTTGGAGGGATACAAGCTGCTAATCAGGGTGTAAAGTGAGGCTTAGGCTGGAGGGTGAAGGTTTTCTGTATCCGTACCCTTGTGCACAAAGAACAGTGGATTACCTGAGCCCACCAGCCTGCCTGCCTGCTGAGGTGATGTCTCTCTACCTCCTGGAGGCCAATCACAGGATGAGAACTTCTACCTTTTTCCCTGCCAGACCAGGAAAATGCCTTTACCTATTCAGGTAGAGGGGGTTGGATTATGTGTGCGCCCAAAATATGGCAGAACATTTCTAAGGAGTTAAATTACTATAAAAGATGGAAAAAATACCAAAAATTCATTAGATATTATTTTTCTACTTATACAGTACTTATACTAGACTATTAGCTCCTCTGAGACTTTAAGACAGGACTGTTCCCATTATTTATTTGATTTATATTTTTTCCTTTCTCAGAAGGTGATAATGTGGATGTTCTACTCCATTTAGTAAATGCTAGTAACGCTAAAGAAAATATTTCAAATGAGATGCATGAATGAGTTCTTGATCACATCAGAAAAAGGGTATAAAAATGGTCCTTCAGACTATTTGAAAACAAAATAAATGCTGATAGGAGTCTTTACGAAAGACTTCTTGATGTATTGCTCTAAATATTTGTCTGATTCACGTGCAGGAATAATTGGACTCAGTTGTACATCAGCATTCATATAGCTAGAAATTTTGCATGAGAAAATGGTTTATAAACAGACTGCATTCCTTTTTCTTTGCATGTTTGAGATCTGTAAAAAGTCTAATTTTCTGCTCAACTATTAATATCTATGTTTTGAAAAGCAGAAAAATTTAACTGAATTGGGAATTGCTGCTCAACTCTCTCCACTTCATGGCATGGAGCTTTTAAAAAGGCATTCAACAAAAATTACCTGTAAAAATTAAGACCTGTACTAACAGAACTTTGTTTCAGAGTCACAGTAGTCCGTTGCATCCTTCCATGAATAGTTGGCTGAAAAATTCCTACACTGACTTCTCTCCTATTTTCACTTATATTTGCCTGGTGAACTAGCTTTTTTAAAACTGAGTCTCTTGTTCTGTTAATGCAGTTTGCATTCACAATTATTTGCATGAACAGTTTAAATAGTAGCATTCTGTTAAAATTTGTAATCAAGCAGTTCAATTTCAAGAAAATGTAAATGTTTAGCTTCAGCATTTCTTCTTTTGAAAGCTAAATATCCATTTAAGGACTTTGATTTAGTGCAATATTTTTCTATGCCAAGCAAAACTATAAGGTCCATGGCCACATACAGCGCATACATTTCTGCCAGGAGAATCTCTGCTGTTTTGATAGAAACCAAAAATGTACAGGCATTCATCAATTTTCTCCCTTGGGAACAATGCCTTTTTCAATTAGGAAGATCTCTCCTGTCAGAGGGAAACAACACCTGTATGCTTCCTTGCCACTTGATTCCTCCCAGGAACCAGGGTGATATCCGAGTCTGGAAAAGGTGTGGGGAGCAGCCGCTGCTCTGCTCCCCTCCCAGTCTAGGGAAGGCATGGAGGTCAGGGAAGAAGGGGCAGCTGCAGATTGAATGCTGTACTGATCCCTCTCCCCAAAAGATTTCTCCTGGAAATGAATGCCTGTTTAAGACCTTTGTTTCTCAATATTTTTTAGAAGCAATATCTTTATTACCCTTTTCACTTACCTTACCTGCCTTAAATATCCCAATCTAGCAGAAGCTAAATTGTGTAGATCATTTGTTTTGTAAATAGCCTTAAATGCTTACAGTACAAATACTTCGTTTCATGTTACCCAAACAATTAATAATTGCATGACATATCTGAGGCAAGAACTTTAGCTACACACTAGGTGGCAGCAAATATTCAGAAGTAGCTTTTACTTTTGTCTCTGTATGGTACTGAACACACTTAAAAATGGATGTTACAAAGTTTCTAATATGTACGGGTTTTTATATGCAACCTTGGTATATATCGCATATCCTTATCTTCCTCCACTGTTTTTTGCTGAACTGTAGAAATGTTTATTATTTAACCAGTCTAAATACTAATATCAGTCATTGAATAAATCACAAAGGGTTATTTTTGACCAATTCTCAGATTTTGCTCTTTTCTGTAATAAGAACTTTTTATTTTGATTGTTCTAAAATTGGCCATTTTGTGAAAGGTTTTTGTAATATTGAAAGATCCTGCTCCAAGTTATGTACAGGAAAGTGGTTTGAGTCATACAGACAAATCAAATGCACCAATTAATTTGGGAGGTAAAATGAGTAAACAACCTAAAGATGTAAGAATGTCTTTCCTCATTTTCAACTGAAATATGGTAGTTCAGGGCAAGTCTGCATTCTTAAATCCTTTAGTGCCTCATGCATGAGTATATGTACATAAGAAAATATCACTTTGCCTTTTTTTCCTCACTGTTGGGAAGCAGAATCAAGTCAAGTCCAATGAATTACAGCACCATCTGGGTTAAAGTCTCAATGTTAGTCATTGAAGTCAGGAGGATTATACAAGATTTACATGGGTTTAATTGACAAGAGATGTTTAGCTTTCAATATTATTTTGGGATAGTTATATTTGTTTCTTTTTTTGTAGTAATGAATTTCTCTGTTACTAGCATGTAGATGCATAGATCTCAGAATTTAAAATTAAGTTGCATGGATTTTTTAAAATCTGTGTAACAAAGTAAATGTATGTGAAACTAAAAGGCTATAAAAGTCATTAATCTTTTAACTAGTAGTAATTGCTCACAATTTTTTATTAAAGAGTTCGTTTAACAGTATGACCATAGGAAAACATAATATGCAAAAAGATATGTTTGTTTGTGATGAAGGTCTTGAATTTTCCCAATGAGCTCAAATTAGCAGTTACAATAAACAGCAAAACACCCAGTACTTTCCATGACTACAACCAATGGAAATATGTTAATGCACTTGATGAGTCTTAGTGATATTGTTTCAATACAGGTGCATCAATAATCTGAATAAATATATAAAATAACCCACTCAAACTTCAGTTATCTTTTCATGTGCCAGCAGTATGCCAGAAGCCTTGTGCATGTGACTCTTCAAAGATAAAAGGCAAGCCAAAAACTACTTAAAAATATAAAATATGGAACCATCTTCAAAAAAGTCTTATGTACCAGTATGATTTGATTGGTAAATCCAGTCCACTTATCCAATTCCTACACTATCAGTTGTCTATTATCAGAATGTTTTCACCTTTTAATATGTTTTCTAAAATACATATGGAGTTATATTTTAAACAGATTAACCAGTTTAGATCAGGTTGTAAATATTTCATTTAAATGTTCCTATGTTGACAGCAGAAAAGAAAGTAAGTTTATGTTGCTTATAAAGATAAACATTAAAAAATACAATATAAATTTTGTTTTAAATTGTCAAGCCTTATTCAAATTATTGGGGTCTAAAAGTCTTCATGGTCTGGTCCTTTTATTTTACAAAATTACAAACAGTAGGGAAGATTATGTAAGTGCTTAAGTATTTGGAACTTACTGTCAAAGAAGGTACTGGCATTATCACCAGGGTAATAAATAGGTGTTTCTGAATGCAGATGTAAGATGTTTCAAAAAGATGATTTTATGAGTATTGTAACTTCAGTTAGAAAACTAACAGTTTTCATAGTTTAGCCCGAAAGCCCTGAATTAAATATGTTATGAACTTTATGCTTGTATTTACTTCAATTTTTTTTTAATTTGAACTCTCCTACTTACAGATTGCTCTTGGAACAGTAACTAATGTGGAGGAAGCAGTAAAGTGGATAAGCTACACTTATCTTTATGTACGGATGAGAGCAAATCCATTAGTATATGGCATCAGTCACAAGGCTTATCAGGTAGAAAATGCATTTAAAAAAATCTAACCTACTTTCTTGTTCTGTAATCCTTTCCTGATGTGAGGATAAATATTTGCCATTTCTATCTTACCTGACATTAGCAATTGTTTTTAAGTTTTGAGAAGGAAAATATATTTTTATAGCAGCGTTTTGGGGGTATTTTGTACTAAAGTAAATTAAAAGTTCTCCTCTGAATAGTCTTTTTAATTGAAAACATTTTTACACCACCATACAAAAATACTGCCAACAGCTAAACTACCCATCAACACACAGTACTATTTTTTATCAAAACAACTTTCATTGTTTATTTGCTGTCAGTATTTCAATACTGCAAACCAGACATAAGCGATACACTCAAGTCTTCTTGAAACCATAGCTTTAGTCTGTACACAGAATTTTTTTTCTTGTGCAGAGTATTTGTTTTAGAAGGTTTCATCAAATGGGGTATCATAAATTATCAGATAACGTACTTGCTCATTTAACAGGTTAACACAATAAATCAATTTTAAATCTTTGTTGTTATCCAGTCATTTTCAGATTTTTATTCCTTTGATGTCACTTTTAGAAATTCTTTTCCCCTTTGGAATAAATCAAAGCACAGTTAGAGATATATTTTTTTCATAGATGAATTCATTATTTTTACTTTTTTGGAGGGTTTCACAATTTACAGATAATCTCTATACACTGCTGGACATGCTCTACTAGCACCTTCTACAAGGGTAATGTGATAGGCAGGAGGTGAACATACACTGATGGGAAGAAAAATGGAGAAAACATCTTTCTGAAGATATGCTTTTTAAATAGTAGCTATGTATCTGTATGAAGAGGCTATAATGTTAGGCATAGTCCTTTTAGATAATAAGTAGAGAGTGTTTGTGAAATTATCAATGATCCATAATAAATCGTAGAGCATAGATCTCAAAGTACTGTCATGTGGCATGTTTTAAACACCTTACTGGCCCTCCTTGAGAGGCTTGCTTAATACAATCACCCCAAACTTTTTAATAAGCTTTCATATCTCACTTCTATTTGTATCACACCAACAGATAAAAGGAAAACATTATCTAAAGTACAAGTGTCAAACATCTAATGCTTGCAGGCAGCATGGGTCTCAGACTGGCTGGAGCTGGTGCCTCATACAGTAGTGCAGCTGGGGTGGTCACTGTGTTCATCACAGCTGCTGCTCCAGCTAGACTGTGCCGTATGCAGCGTTCATTCCAGCCACTTTGGGATTCATGTGGTACATAGCAGTGGAGCAGCCACCAGACCAATTATCCTTGGGAAGGGATCCATGGGCCTGATCCAGCTCATTTACCAGCCTCATTCATGGACTGGATGAGTTTGACACCCCGATCTAAAGTGATATTACATACTATCATTTGCTAAAGAATGGTATAGCCTATCTTTGTAGAAATCCCTGCAAATTATCTTATGATTTAAAATATTTTGGATAATTAGTGTAAATAGTTTTGGTAATACCCAATTATAAAGTTAGCAAACCATTACCAAGAGCAATTTTACAGTAAACAATAAAACAAATGAATTGTTATTCTTCAGTCCACAGTCATTTTCCAGATTTTTGTCAGCTCCAAGGAAGTACCATCCCTGAAGATCTACCAGTGCTCTGTCTGATCCTATAATTCTTTTACACAGTAATCCAAGGACCAGCATGTAATCCATTTAAAGATACAGCAGCAAGCATGCCGTTGCTGTGAATCAGGAAGTTCAGGATGTTTCTCTGTGCTCTTGGGAGTATGCTGCTCTATACCTCACTTGAATCTGAACTGAGCTGAGACATGATCTATGCATATTGTCAATAACCATTCTGTGAATATGCAAATCTTAATTCTTTGGCTAACCCAGTTCCTCCACATTGATTAGCATCTGTTCTCCAATTTTTCAAAATGTTTGCCAGTAACAAGGATGTTCTCTGAGCTTCACTTCCTTCAACTAAAAGAAGAATACCATAATTTACATTAAGTGGGTTGGGGTAAGGAAGTGAGGAAATGTGATCAAACTGCTGAACAGAAAATGTGTGTTCATATTTGTTTTAAATGGGTTTATATAAAAGAAAATCCACTGATTCTTACCAGTCCTTTTCTTATACTGTCTATCACAGCTTCCTTTTCCAACAGCTAAGCTGGGCTTTTTTGTCCTTATAAAGGGTATATATGTATATGTATATTTGTTTGTAATGCTTGAAAATTTTAGAGAGTGCTAAGCCTCTTCCTCCCTTGTCACTAGGGAAAGCAGCATACGTAACAACATACTGCCTTTATTCTGGGGAGAAGAGCCTACTTCTGGGAAAACAGGAAAGAGGTGGCCTAGGATGCTAGTCAAACTTTTCAGCAGCTTGTCAACTCTCATTTAAGATTTAATGTTTTTTTCTCTCTTATTTTAAGTTTGAATATATCCTTGAGAAGTCAGTACAAAATGAAATTGAGATTTCTTCAGATTAACACCCTGATGCTGAAAATTTCTATGCATTCTTACCTTTATGCAAGTAAATATCCCAACTGTGTTCAGTTTCCAGTAGTAGATGACAGACTTTTGTGTAAAACTTTCTAAATTGCTGCTGCTATTGCCTTGGAAATGACATTCTGGTTTGGAGAGCCATGGTAAAGGTCCCTTCTAGGCAGAACTCTCTTATACCCCTCAGGATTCTGAACCATAAAGACCTGCCAGGACTCTAACCACGGAGACAGAGCTCTAGGACAATGTTTCTCGACCTTTCCAGGTTAATAAGTCTGCATTCAGTTTCAAAAAATGATTTGCAAGCCCTTTTCATTCACTATAAAAATAGGAAAACATATGGATTATAAACCTAAATAATCTATGTGAATGCTCCAAGAGATTGTTCAATTTTATGCACTTTTGGCCAGAGTAAGATTTTTTTTTGTGGGGGGGGTTGCTTTAGTTTCTAGTAAAAATTTCAGTATTTCTCACCCTAATTTCTTTTTGTGACGCTCCCCCTCCAAGGGACTGTAACATATCAGTTGAGTAATACTGCTTGACAGCATGGGCCTTTGGGGCTTTAGACTCTTTCTCTGATCAGAAGGGTTTGCAACTTGTAACTAGGGAGAAGCAGCCAGGACTTCTCCAGCCACAGAAGAGACGGGTGTAACTAGTACTGGCCACTCCACTACAAGCTCAGCAACTAGGCAGTTCCCCAGATGATGTGAGGAAGCAGCCAGATGCATCTTCCAGCTCAGAGCAAGCAGCCTCAGCCAAAACCAGGAATTAATTACCCAGCCATTCTTTCCCTCAGTTCAGGACAAGAAGCAACAAAGCCTTCAGGAGCCACCAGGACACTGCCCCAGGGGTGTGAGAGCTAGCCACAGGTAGAGATACGTCACTTTCTGTTTCTGCAGCTTACTCCCTGTTGAAGTCTTACCAGACTTAATATTTGATAGTCAGTGTCACATACCCATCTGGTACACCCCCAGAACCCTGAGTTTCTCCCCCATTGTCCCATTGCTGCTTTCAAGAACAGACCAGGGTTGCCCTGGGATAACTCCTTATCCCCACAATCCTCTGCTCAACTGCCCTTATACCTAACCCCACAGCTGCAGCAATGGAATTTCTGCCAGCTTCAGGTATCCTCCCCTTTAGGTTGTGAAATAAATTTTAGGTCCCCTTTTCTGGAGAATGGGCTTGTCTGGAATATCACTCACCCAGAGATCACTTTTTCCACAGGCAGCCAGTACTGAGACAAAACAAGAAAAGGATTTAGTATGTAGGAGAAAAGAATCATATGAGCAAAACTGACCATAATTTTCAATACAAAAAAGCAGGATGAGTAAATGTTCTTACCCTCTCATCTAGCTACACCCTACCCTTCCTGAGAGTGACCTACCAGGGTTTTTAGAGATCAACCTTCCTTCTGAATCTACCAGCCCTGGCTTCTGGGGCTTCTCCAGCCCAGGAAAAAAAATCCAAATACCATGATTTTATCATAGATAGGCTTTAACTACCTCCCCCCATCTGCATTATCCTATTTGCTCAAGAGTCAGAATCCTCCAGAAAACTCTGGTTTCCCTGAAGCACTTGGAATTCCCCTAGCTAAAGGGCCATTTCTCTAGCTTTTGCTAGAGAGGAGTCAATTTCCCCATTGCAAACAGACAATGGTCTGGCTGCCCCACCATTATTATGTCTTCTTCTGCCTGTTTCTGGGAGTGGCAGTTGTCCTTAAGTATGTATTCCTCACCTTCTTTGCTAAACCACATCCAAAATCATAAATCACAAAATAAAGATGCCATAATATAATCCAAACTGTTACAGTGATAATCATAACATGAATGGATATAGCATAACATGGGTTTTTCAGCAAGACCACACATATCAATGAAATAAATGCAAGAAAAACTTGCATGACACCCCACATATCCCCAGACCATTGTTTGGTTTGTGACAGTCAGGACATTTGTGACATGTCTATACCACCTCTGGACCCTGGTAAGCGCTACAGTAAAGCACATGCTACGCCCCAAAGAAAATAAAATATAGTCACACTTAGTGCAGCATCTAATTAGCCTGCTTAAAACACAGTTTATGAGCAGCTCCATGGCACCGTTCAGAGGTGGTAGAGACTTGTCCTTCCTGTCATTTCTACAAGTAGGGCCTGGTTTAAATAATGGTTTCCTATTTTTCATGAAAATAATGAAATTAAGTGATTTTCACAAAAAAATGCTATTTGCAATGGAATGCCACAATATGGTTGCTTGCTGGAGAGTTCTTCAGCAAGCAACAATATCATGGCATTTTGTTGCAACAAGGTGGCTACTATAGGCTACGGAAAGCATTCCCCAGGCAACAGCAAAAGCCTAGTAGTCCAGGGGAGGCAGGGAGGGATGCAAAAGGGACAGGGGAAGGAGACAGCTTGGGCGGGGATGGGGCTGTTTGCTTCTCTGGGCAGGAAAACTGGGGGACTGGGAATGGGGGCAGAGAACACATGTGCAGAGGAGCAAACAGTCCTAACCCTACCTAAAGCCAGGGCCATCTGCCAAGGCAGCCCCCAGGTGCCCCCTTCCCCCTGCACCCCAATTTTCCTACCTGGAGGAAGAAGCAGCTTCTCCTCTACCCATCCCCAAGCTCTCTCCTCCCTCTGTCCCTTTTGCAACCCCTTCCCTGTGCTTCAGCACTGGTTAGAGGCCTTGGGAACAAGGCCTCTGCTATTGCAATTAAACCTGGCCCTAAACCTGCCGCCTCAGCCCATTGAAAGGGGGGAGGGGGGAGGGGGGCATCACAATCAGCACAAAAATGGCACCTGCTATGATCAGGCCACAATATTAGTGAGCTGGGGCCCCAATTTATACCAGGTTCTATCTATAAGTGTAGCCAGATCTTTATAAAATTGACAACTTATGGCTATAAATCATTGAAATTAAGTCAGTTATTTTATAGGTATGGTATTTTCACTGAAGTTAGTGGAACTACCTGTGTACTTCAAGTGCAGTAGATAACATGTGTGGAATCAGAGTCTAACTAGACATTCCAGCTAACATGCTGCACACTTTATTCTCAATATCTATTTCAGCCTTGAGATTTGGAGATTATCCAGCTCCAGAATATGATAATAAGCTGTCTTCATATCATATTACACAGGGTATATATACTCAAAAAAAATCCTCATAAATAGGAAACTAGGAAATATCTGTAATAATGTAACATGATGATGATGATTCCAAACCCTGCTAAGTTATTTTAAAAAATGAAGTTAGATCATTCAGTAAGCAACTGTAGCTTTTATTTTTCTTTTATGATCTTGCTTTTTGCAGTGGTCCCTTGTATGTGCTATATTGATTTCTTTTCTTTTTTTAATGGAAAATACATATTCCAAGGATTTCAAGCACCTCTGTTTTCAGCGTTTTTAGAAATCAAATCCATATTTGAGCACCTAGATCCTTTGTTTGATCAGCAGGGTTAAGTTTTGAAACAAAATTATTTCAGTTATTGATTAATAAATTGTGTGCTCTACCTTTTAATAGGGATGTCCAATAGGTGAAAAATTCATTATTAGGTTTTAATAAATAAATATAACAATGTTATCATATAGTCATCCATATTTGTAAGTATCTAGCAAGAATTTTCTAAATTTGTAGATTGAAATGTAGTATAACTTGAGGATGGACCGATATAGATTTGAGTTTCCTGTTTTTATTCATTTTATTTATATAGATGAAGGGTTTTTTGGACTTAATGTCCATATAACATTTGTTAATAAGCATTCAACTAATTCTTCATTTGGCAATTATGACTTTATTTTCTCTGTTTTCCAGCTGTATTGTGTTTCTGTCTCTTAAAAGAACTGAGTTAACTCACTGAAGTACATTAGTCATTTCTGATTTTTTTTTTGTGCTTGGTCTTTAGATGGATTCAGTACTAGAGAAGCACAGAGAACAACTGGTGATTGAAGTCGGCAGAAAGCTAGACAAAGCCCGGATGATTCGTTTTGAAGAGAGGACTGGTTTTTTTTCTTCAACAGATTTAGGAAGAACTGCCAGCCATTACTATATTAAATATAATACCATTGAGGTACTATTCTACTTTTGGTACACCTTCCTCTTTTTAAGTCTTTACACAAAATAATCATCACGGCTAGGGACAGACATTCAAAAAGCCCAAGCCTGAATTGATTCAATCTTTGCAGGTTAATCTAGCCTGCAGAGATTGAACTGACTTGCAAGTGGATAGACATTCACTTTTAAGTCAGGAAATGTAGGCATATACCTGCAGTGGCTCAGGCCAGAAGCCAGGGAGCACTAGAGTGTGCCCTCCCTTCCATTCCATAGTGCTGAACTGAGGGGGGGCGTGACCAGGCCCTTGCAGGATGCTATGATTCAGGAGAGGTGTAAACCCCGACTCTGGCTTGCACAATCCCTAGCCAGGGTGTGCCTGGAGGTGGAGGGGAAAGCAGCCCTCTCCAGGCTTTTCCCCTGCTCGCTGTTCAGGGGGTGGGGAGTGTTGCCAGACTCCAGCTCCTGGCTAACACTCTGAGGAAAGGGGGGTGGGCGGGGAGGGAGCATGTGCAGTGCATGCATCTGTTGATGATACTGAGCTATTCAGTCTCTCTCTCCCTGCTTCTTCATACTGTCTGCAGCAAACTGATGGCACTCACAGGTCTCATTCATTGCAAACCAGGTCATTTCTCACACCTCTGTCTCCTGTTGAGCACTGAAAGATTGCAGGCTTTGAAGCAAGAAAGCCAGTAGAGAGCTTATCAAAATGCAAACCTTATGAGGCCATCGAGCCCTACAAAAGAAAACAAACTCATCTCTCTCATGAGTTTCAAGCTCTTCTCATCTGCAGGGTACCTTTGCATTTGCAAGCCACTGGCTTCTGGCCCTAAGTGGGCACTTTTTTGTCTGCCTTTGTTCCAGTGAAATTGACGACACACACAGAGCCACCTCTCAGCATTAGGTAGCCTGGGGGCGGGGGGGGGATGGCCAAGTGCTGGCTGAGGTCTGTACTGCTGGAGTCCCTTCCATGGGAGAGGGGCGGGAAGGGGGGATCCCTGCTTGAGCAGTGAGCAGCGAGGGAGGAGTGGGGCAGGGGGCAGCCTGGCAGACACTGCAGTCCTCCACCAGGGAAGAGAGGGGCAGGGCCAGTCTTGTTCTCTGGAGCAGATAGCCCAGCCCAAGTCTGAAAAGCAGGCTAGGATGCTAGGGGACTCTGATTTAACTTAAAAACTTGAACTAGGAAGGGGTCTGTGGCAGAAGTTCCATTAACCAGTGTGACCCAAATCAGTTAAGTCTGATACTACATTCAACCAGGTTTATCTTAAACCAGTTTCTGCCATTTTGAAACTGGGTTATGTGCACTTCTTTTTCTGTTACAGATTTAACCCAGTTTCTGATCACTTAAACCAGTTTACGTGTAATTTTTATCCCTAGCCTAAAGGGTATTGTAGGTTATGTAACTGACTTAACATCAGTATTATTTTCAAATCGTGGTTACCAAAAAGGAAAAGACAAAGAAAGAAGGAAATAATTTAAGTATATGGAAATAAGTGAGAGATCAGAAACCTTGCTTTGACCAAATTTGGTTTTAGATGTTATTTGTATTTTTATGCCTTTTCTTTAGATGTCTGTCTGTCTTTAGATGTCTATTGCCAGCATATGTAAGTGTATGCAGGTGATAGAACTTCTATACAGAGTTCCCTAGTAAGAAAATGTCTGTTTGTGTGACTATCCTACCTCTCTGTCATGCATGTGGTAGAATTTATCAGCAATTAAGGCAAGCATAGTGCACTGAAACGCATATAACTACCTGTCTGTGAATGTGTAGGTACAAGACTGTTGTTCATTCTGCACCAGTTTAAAATCTGTCTGTCCTTAATTGTAGCCAACAGGACATGTCCTGCATAAATACTACAGTACTGTACCACTAAAAATGTTAACGATTTAGTGTCATCATATAATCAGACATATCCCAGCCAAGGTTTTCAAAAGGGGCAAAGGATTTTGGTTGTCCCAACTGAACCAATTGAAACTAGAAAATTGGTCTCCATCAAGCTGCATCAAGCTAAAAAACCCATTTGCTTTTAAATAATCTTGGTAGTTGTTTAGTAATTATCTGATTAATTGCTAAGGTCAGAAGCATTTTTAATTTTAAGTTGCTAGGGCTTCTTATATTTTTATTTATTAACATTAAGTCATAAGTGCATATATTTATTTTTACAGACTTTCAATGAACTTTTTGATGCTCATAAAACAGAAGGTGATATTCTTGCTATAGTATCTAAAGCTGAGGAATTTGAGCAGATCAAGGTAAGACTGCATCACTTCATACAGCTAAGCATTTTCATGGAAATAGACCTTATCCAATATTTTTTGTAAATGTTAGGCACAAGCATAGAATGTTTTCCCAGCATGAATACCTGACACGTCCTATACATGCTATCATTCAAATTACTTGTATTTAAACTGGAATAGTGGTTCAGCTTTAAACTATTTGGCTAGGGATATATTTTCTTTAAAGATTCTTTTAATTTTTTTATAAGGGCTTTACTATGTCACCGCCTGCCCCCAGTGTTTTAAAAATCAGAGTAAGTGACCATTGGAATGATATATCTGGGGTTTGGAAGATCTCTTGGGGTGCCTATAGATTTGCTCATTAACTTTCTAATTAGAACACATTGGAGCAGACTTGATTTATCATTGTAATTAGAATGTTCCAGTATCACATTACCATCATGTGTATTAAGCCCCCGCACATTTCAAAATGGCCACAAGGGTTCTTTATCTAAAGCTCAACGAATGAGTTCATCTCTTTCTAGAATATATACCTGCAACACAGATAGAAGTGATGTAGGAACCACTGGGTGACATTTTTTGACATATATGTATATGCCAAACTGTTTGTTCGATATGAATCTCCATTTCTGGCCTTAAAATCTACGAATTTGGGTGTAAAAGGATTTTTTATCCATACTAGGGAAGTAAGAACACAAATGTACTCAGGTCAGCAACCAGCCCTCATTTTTGCTATCTCTGTAAGGGCTCCCATCTTTTTTCCCTTCAGAAAAAAATGTATTTGTTTAATCTTTTTCATTATAGCATCTTAGGAGTTATTTTTACATCACTAGTTATAACATTTTCAAAATGAATTGTTTCTTTTTGAATGAATGATGATCCTTCAAGTATTGCCCAGTGGTTAGCTTGATCCAAGCACAAGAAGGCACAAGGAAACTGTATTACTTGTACTATAGTTTTCAATGCATTGTGATGTGTCAGTTGTACAACTCCCAACAACAATAGTGAGAGGAGACTAGCAAATGAGAATATTCTTACTAAGAATATACCCCTTAGTGTGATATACTCGTTTTATATGCATATATATTGGACACATGCTTGTGTGTTATTTCAAACATTTTATATGCTGTCTTAGAATTAGTTGGTTCACTGTCACCAGAGGAGCTGTACTAATGCTTAGTTCAAGAACAGGGCATTTTACCAAACATGTTGTTGGAGATAAGGCATAAGGTTCCTCCACATGCCAGATGGTCAGCTGTGATGTGGGGCTTTGAAACCTATTCTCTGAGTCCTCTAGATATTAGTCAGGCCCTAATGAAAATGTCTCCCAGCTGATTTCCTGCATGAACCAAACATTTACCCTCTTTCAATAAGTTTTACACTAACGGACTATCAGTAAATCAAAGAATATGTAGATTTATGCTGTGTTTTGTAGTATGAGGGTCATCAGTGAGAATATAAAATGCTATGCATTATTCAAACCATAGATATGAATATTTCTTTACTTGTATTAAGACTTAATCTTATTAACAGTGAAAACTTTAATACCATGAATCATAGTACTTCACAGTTTTGAGTTAAGAATGTATTATGCCACATGCCAACTATATAACTGTAATGAATGCATTTAATGTTAATTCAAGACTGTCTAATCCAGATGGACAGAGGTTTTACTGTGGTCAAATAAAAAATGAAATCTCATCAGATAGAGGATGGTAGGGTCAGAAGATTCAATTTTTGTGGCATATCAAATTCTTGTGTGTCAATGGCAACCTTAATAGATGGTGATGAATAATAAAAAGTAATTGTGTCACTATTAAGATAGTTTCAATTAAGTTCTATTAGCTGCAGTATGAAAGACTGGCTTTTTTGTTTTGGGGGCGTTTTTTATTTAGCTTAAAACTAGAGACTGTTTAAAAATAATGTAACTAAGAAATAATGGAAAGTTAATTTCAGTATGAAAGTTTTTATAAAGTTACTTCAGCCTGTTCATAATTTATTAATTGTGTTTTAGGTAAGAGAAGAAGAAACAGAGGAGCTGGAAACATTACTGAACAGTTTCTGTGAACTTTCTGCTCCCGGCGGTGTGGAAAACAGTTATGGGAAGATAAATATCCTTCTTCAAACATACATTAGCAGAGGGGAGATGGACAGTTTCTCTCTTATTTCAGACTCTGCGTATGTTGCCCAGGTAAAAACAAAAACAAAACAAAATCTGTAATATCTAGTGATTTGTCTCCTTATCCCCAGATCTTGTCATTCTCTAAAATGTCCATACACAGTGCTGTAGTAAGGGAGGGGCAAGTGGGGCAACCTCCCCGGGCGCTGAAGTAAAGGGGCACCAACAGGCGCTGCCCAGCCAGGGTGGAACATGGGACGGAGCCACGAGTAGCTTGTT